TTTGTCATGGTTTGATCACAGTCAGCAACCAAGCACCACACAGCCGCTCTCTCACCCTCCCCGCCCCTGGTGGGACGGGGGAGAAAATCGGAAGGGAAAAGTAAGAAAAGTTGTGGGTTGAGATAAGAACAGTTTAATACTAGAAATAAAATATAACAATAATAATAATAAATTGCAATGAAAAGGAAAACAATGAGAGAGAGGGGAAAAAAAATCAGGAAAAACAAGTGGCGCAACTGCTCACCACCCACTGACCGATGACCAGCCGGTCCTCAAGCAGCGATCGCTGCCCCCCAGCCAACTCCCCCAGTATATATGCTGATGCCATATGGTATGGAATATCTCTTTGGCCAGTTGGGGTCAGCTGTCCTGGCTGTGCCCCCTCCCAGCTTCTTGTGCACCTGGCAGAGCATGGGAAGCTGAAAAAGTCCTTGACTTAGTGTAAGCACTACTTAGTAACAACTAAAGTATCAACATTATTCTCATACTAAATCCAAAACACAGCATTATACCAGCTCCTAGACCCTATCCCAGCCAAAACCAGGACACTTTTTTAGAGAAAAATTCTGTTAAAAATAAACTGCTTCATGGCTTACCCTTTTTGCAAACATATGACAAAGAGAAAAAAAACCCTTCACTTTTGAGGTATTTTGGGTGAGTCAGTTCTAGCATTTTGATTTAGATTGGGACTGTACTTCTGAAATGACTCTGCAGATCATCCCTATTTGCCATGCTTTCATTCACACTGCAGAGTAGTTTTGAAGGGTGTGAACTGGCTTCTAAGGTACAAAAGCAGTGTGTTCCAGGGGTACAGCTAGCAGAGCTCAGCTGATGGAGGTCTGCAGCCCACGCTGGAGCCAGCCTGGTGGGAAAACCCTGCACTGGGCATGGTTTCAGGGTGGGTTCCTCAAGAGCGACTCTTTTGCTCTGGAGCTCTGCTCCTGTTGGGTGACACTGCTTGCTGTTGGAGACATTGTCTTTGACCACTGAAATAGTTCTTATGCCTAAAGAAACAGATTGCTTGAATTCTTTAATGGCAGATTTGTGTTTCTTTCAACCAGAAGAAATAAAACCCAAATACTTTGGTTAGGCTGCATAATAAGCAAAGCAGATGTATTGAACCCTTCATTCCACAAGAAGCTGACACTAAGGACTGATCCTCCAGGTTGCAGAGGAGCATCCCAGTTGCAGAGGAGCATCCCAGTACCCTTGTGAATGTACAGTCTGCCTTTAAGCATAAAAATTGTTACCCAATAATTTATTTCCTTTGAGCAAAGTGTATTTAGGATATCACTTATTGTAATGAAGATTAGTATAATTCATAAGATTGTATGATTTTATGTATTGATTTATTGGCGAAAAATGTATGTAAACACATAATGTGAATCTATATATTATTGTTAGATGGCCAATATTAAGTGCCATGAAGTTGTGTTTTGCTTGATTGCATAAATTAGGATGTGTGAGATCAACTCATTTTAAACTTTGAATTGCCAGAAAATTTGCAGATACTTTTTCTTTCCTTGTTCTGACCTATGATTATCACATTATAGGCTAAGACCCATTTTATCTTTCTGCAATACATCATCATATCCTAACAGATACTCCCTGAAGTATCTGGAGTACAAATCTCATTTTATGTGTATTAAAAACAGTAGGGAATCTCAAATCAGCTCACTAAATAGCTTTTCTGCAACACCTTATTAAGAAAGTGAAAACTAATATAATTGCCGTTTTGCTGTTCCAAAAGCGTTAAATCTGGCAGCTGCTGAATTCCAAGCTTATATTGTTTCTAGATGAAGGACATTTGAAGGTGAAATGAGAATAAACTTTTTTTTATTAAAATTCATATTAAATTGACTGGAACATGTGTCTCAGGGAGTGGTCTAGCACTTTGCACACAATACTCAAGATCTGATGGGAGAAAAGGAGCCAATTATTTAGAATGAAATCTTTAAGACCATTAAATAAATCTAAAGTTTGATGATTTACAGTTCAAGAAAAACTGTGGTGTAGACTTACCAGTTTTCAGATTAGTTTCAGATACAGCCAGAGTTCTCTTGTAAACAAATCAATGTATTACATTATTATTCACAGATCTGTTCTGTACCTGCTTTTCATTTTGTGTCAAGTGATCTGATAGGAGGCAGCATTAGGAATACCCTTGGGCCAGTCACTTTATCTCTGTATGCTTATGTTTATCTTCTCTGTAAGTTTTGACAAGGTTTTTCTGTCCTTTTTAAGTGTTGTGAGCTCTAGAGAGGAATACCAGTTGTAGCTGTACACAGCTGTGGTGTTGTGCAGACTACAGTCTCAGTGCAGTAGTTGAATATTATGGGTATTTTTAAAGAAACATTGTTCAGATTCTTTAATGCTTCCAAGAGTTGTCAGGTTTACAAATGGTGTTTTTGAAAGAAAAGGATAGCATTACTATCCACAGGATGGGGAAGAGGTGGTTGTCTTTGTAAGTGCAAGCCAGCAAAAATATTCAATATTCCCTGAATATCAAGGTCTCGATTCTGCATTAGTTCTGGTTACAGAAGGACTTGGCAAAACTTAAATGTTTTAAAATTATGGGTGCGCAAAGTATGTTAAGTGAGCATTTACCAGGACATTTTCAGCTGTAAAATAACAGTTGCTTTTGACAGTTATGTTTTAAATGTCCGTTCCTCATCATCTGAAAAATTCATGCTGGTTTATCATCGTATTCTGCTTCTCTTTCTCTTCCCATGTTACTGTCATAAATCTACCTGAACTGCGAGGCAGAGCCAGCAAAGTTTATGTGTGCAGAATTTATAGCCAAACAATCAGAATTTGCCAAGACTGGACAACATGAAAGTAAATGTGTAAATTAGAATTGGGCTGCACTGAAAAAAAATTTAATAATTCATTTCTGTGTGCCTGCGAGAGAACAGAAGTATCATTTAAGGGATCACTATAAAGGGTGGGAGAGGAAGAGATGGGTTTTGTTCAGTATTGCTGCCAAATACAATTCACACTCTTATTTCAACACAGAATTCTTTCAAGAATTAAAATTAAATTAACCTTGATAATTATTTGAAAAAAAGAAAAATGGAAATTACTTTTCTCAAAATATTATTGACAGATCTGCATGGAAGCATATATCATGCAGTGCCTGATATTGTTGATAATAGTCTTTGTAATTTTGAAAATGGAATTCACAAACAAGTATAATTTCCTTCCCTTCTCCCCGCCAGCAAAATCAGTTATAGAGTGCTGAATGTAATAGAAAATACTACCTTTGATTTGACTTGAAGTGAATTTTATATTCCTGTAAAAAAAAGTGTCTGCATGAGTGAAGGTATCTACACAGCATGTAAAGATACTGTTCATATGCTACATACAGATAGCTGCTGCATAGACGTGTACACACGTACACACATACACCCACACAAAGGCATGGGTTTTGTATAAAATTACACTATGATTTTAAAATAATTCATCATTAAATGGTGTTAATAAAACCCAAGATGCTCACCAGTTCCCAAGAAACACTCTGTGCCTTGGAGACTAAAGTCCACTCTGAATTAGTCAACAAGCAAGAAATCACCTGTATGGGGATAATTACAGCATCAAATGCACTAGGGCTACAATCCGTTGAAAGTCCTTCAGCCGCTTGACTGGACTTTGCATTAAGTTTCTTTTTTGGCAAATGTTTGTTTGTGGTATTCCATTATATACCTGTCAATCTAGAGCATCAAGAGTGGTAGACTTTAGTGACCTGTTAGGAAATCTCTCTCTAATATCTGTTCTTGCATCTATGCTGTGAAGTGGAGGAAAACACAGATTGGCTTGTAGGAATTACAAAATATGTAGATTAAATAGGACTCTTCTGTATCATGAAGTATTTATTGTGCTTCTTACCATTTTACATTGGAAAGAAATAATGTAATTTACCGAGATAGTCATGTTTTTGGTGTTTTTCCATGTTTCTTGTGTGGTAGCAAATGAAAAATTCATAAGGCTTGCAAGAAAAATATTAAGGGTCGGGAGTGCAGGGTGTAGTGTATATATATAGGTACATAATGCACAGTGCATTTCAAAATCTGCCAGTTTAGTTTTCTATGAATGCTTTATTCTTGATTTTACAAGGTCAAATAAAATAGTACCTGTCTACTTGAAAAATAAGGAGTGTTCTTTAACAGTATTACTTTTACAAGCAGCAGTCTTTTGCCAAAGTTTTTTAGAATATAACTGAAATGTATTTTTGTTCAAATTAACTGTTTGAGTAGTGGAAGCATCTCAGTATATAGGCTGTATTCTACTCCCTACTGAGTTACTCCAGATTTATTCTGAAAGTAGATTTAAGTCTTGAAGAATGCATTGAAATTCCTAAGTTTTCATTTCAAACCTGTGAAGCCTGAAAGTCCACGGAAAAAAGGAATAAAATTAAGCATGAAAAAAATACTCAGTGAATGTGTGCAACTTTGAAAGATTTTTACATTAGTCTGAATGTGCCTGGCAAGATTTGTTTCTGGCATTTTTTTCTTTTGACCTACTAATGTTGTTGTTGAAATAGTAAATTTTTTTTAAATTATATTTTATATATGATTTTTTTTTTCTGTTTGCTTTTCTTTCCCCCCATTTAAGATTCCAGAGGCTTATTTTATTAGAGATCCTCACACTTTCCTCCTTACAAAGGACTTTATTAAGGTATATATGTTCTTTTTAGTGCAAAAACCCCCCTCTCTCAAGACCTGAGCTGCATGTCCTCACAGGTTAACATTTTCACATATAACACCAGTTACTGGAAATGAGAATGGTTAGTTGGTTAACTGAAGCATGCTTGAAAGGAGAAGCAAAGCTTGTCTACAAAATACTAACACTTGGATGAGTCTGCAGCCTGGGAGGAGAGCACCGGGTGAATTTTCTGGACTTTTTTCATGGCTGACTTGGGATATGCCTGCATTGTCACACAGTGTGTTGACCTCTCTCCTTGATGCATATTGCTCATGACAGTCCCTCTCCCTTGCCTGCAGGCCATGGAGGCGCAGATACAGAACTTTGGACAGACGCCATCGCAGTTGCTCATTGAGCCCCATCCACCTCGGAGCTCTGCCATGCACCTGGTGAGACATAACTGCTGGCTGGGAATGCATTCCCTTTGAACCTGAGGATCCTTTGTAGGTCATAAAGTACCCATTTAAGCAACACTTTCAATGCCCTCCGTTGCCCATGCAGCCATGCTTTCTCCTGGCAGAAATGGCTCGCAGTCCTCTAGCAGAGCAAGGTGGAGGTTTGAGTAGCTTCAGCTTCCTATCGTCCTGGCTTTTCCTGCCTAATATTGTATAAGAAGGCCCTATCTTCATAATATACACTTGATAAATACATGTTTAATTTCTTATTTCTGCAAGTAGTGGGAATGACTGCAGGCTTTTCTTAGAATGAACACGTTTTCTTTTGTTTTAAAGGATGCATTGTTAGGGGCTGAGTTATGAACAATGCCTGCTTGACAAAAATGAAGCATTGGAGTTCAAATTGTACTGGAATCCTCCTGCGTGTTCTCCTGGGAGAATACAATGTAAATTTCGAATTTCAATTTGAACTCCAAAATTCATTCCCAATGCATTCTTCTCTACGCTTCTTGCAAAGAATTATATGAAATAGCCAGACTGAATGAGACAGATATCTGTGCCCCTCAATGCCTTTGATTAAATGCTTAGAGCTAGATTTTTCTTTTAAGTTTTGTAAATTGACAGTAATATGTGCAATAGTTTCAATAATTTTATCTATCTACAAGCAAATCACTCTAGTTGTACACTGTGAAAGTGGGAATTATCTGGAAGTGTTAGCTGTGTTAAGTAATGTGTAGATGTCAAACATACATAATATTCATTATATATTTTTAATAATAATTTAAAGTGATAAGTAGAAAGGAGTATTTGAACTTCTAGATATAATTCTGTTTGTTATAACAGTGGTTGAAAAAAACCGTTAAAAACAATACTTAGTATTATTGTCCATGTACAAAAAACTGTGTCACTTGTCGAATCATCAAACACGTTTATAATTACTAACAGACTCCCTAGTAAGTACATGCTTTACATAGAATTAAATTGTCTATGTTGGGAATTGCTGTATTTCATATGAAGAATTCATTAAGGAAAATTAACTATCTGTGAGTTTTTGAGTCCCTCTTAAAATTTCTTTTTTTCAGCTGTTGTAGTTTATAGCATTTATATTTATGATGTATTAATTGATTAACTTTTATTTGACTCGTATCTCTATTGTATGAATATTAACTGCTGTATAATTTTGCATTTTACTGTATATTAATTATATAGCGGTCATTTTGCGCCCTGTAACAATAACCCTTACCATACCTATTCTCTACTTGTCCTCATGTAATGATCCGATAATAGCTTCTGATCTTGCTCTCCTCCATCACTAGTGTAGATGCTCAGGTAGTGTTGTTTTCCCTGTATGTGCACATGCTTGCCTGCTCTTTTTTAACCTCGTTTTCCCTCAGACCTCCTCACTAATTGTGTTATCCCTTCTGTTTTCTTCTGCTCTCTTCTCCTTTCTACTCAACAGTGTTTCCTTCCACAGAGCCCCCTCATGTTTAAAGATCAGATGCAGCAGGATGTCATCATGGTGCTGAAGTTCCCATCAAATTCCCCTGTCACACATGTGGCAGCCAACACGCTGCCCCACCTGACCATTCCTGCCGTGGTGACCGTCACCTGCAGCAGGCTGTTTGCAGTCAATCGGTGGCACAACACAGTAGGTAGGTTCTCACGGGCACATTTCATTCAAATTTGAAGACCTTAACAGTGCAGCTTTAATTGCGAGTGCAATTTAGCTAGATGTGGGTTAATCTCACTCACCTGCCGGTGCACAAAAATTTTCTGTTTTCTTCTGGTTTGTGTCAAATAATCAAAGCTTGTGTTTTCTCTGGTGTCATTCCTAGAAACACTCTGCCTAACAGCAGCACATCACCATGGCAGCTGATCGATTTGTGGTTACATCAGGATCAGCCTTTGATAGAATGCTTTTCAAGAGAGTGCTGCTGTTCTTGACACAGCCAATATTAATATGTCCCAGGTTTCAGGAATACATACTGGCATGCTAGATAGCGTACATCACTGTCTGCTGCTTGAGAGAGATTTCAGATCTGTCCAGGAGCTTGTCATAAGCCTTGCCCTGGGCCATCATTAGATAATGTGGGACTGTAAGCAAGCCTAAGCAGCTGGACACTGAACTATTCTGAAGAGAAGTTTCCTTATTCTCTCCCAAAAGCCCATGCAATGAGGTCATTCCAAATTTCCCTTCCAGCCCCTCTGCTCACCTCTCCATATTGCTGCTAGAACTGTCCTGTCTCCTCACCTGGACATGTAGATTCTGAGGTTGTCCCAGGGATTGCTAAATAGGTGCTGGGGCAATTAGCTACCACCCTGCTTGGGAACACACAGGTTTAATTTTCAAAGGTAGCTTCCTACTGTGATAGCTCTTACATGGCAGCAGCTGGAAACTTTTGAAGGTTTCTTCCTACCTGGGAAAAACAAGAAGATACCTGGTGTTTGAGAGTATGACTCAGTAGCTGACTCAGGAACTTCATAGGGACTAGGCAAAAAATAGAAAAATACTCCCCTCTTTGCAGCACAGGAGAACCCCCTTGGCAAAATAGGTCCTTCTGCACAGGGGTTTGTGAGATTTAGCTTAGATGTCTACCTCCAGTAGACCTAAATGTAAACAGCTCCTCAATAAATAATCCAAGTCAGGTGAAGTAGATTCCACCTCTTATGCACAAGGCTGTCCAAAGACTAGTGTTGCAAGGAATAATTAGAGGAATGAATGGGAATTCCCTTATAGGCATGCATTAGAGGATCTATCAGAGCAAGCAAAGTTAATACCACCCTAAATTCTTGAATAGTAATGTAAGTTTTAATGTGACTTTTCTTCTGAACTTTTCAATAATGTGAGCATGAATATTAAAATTTCACATGTATTCAGAATGTTCCTGTTCTCTGTTTACAAACAAACAAACAGAATAGGTTCATCTACAGAAATGCACACACAGAGCACTTTTACTGTTGTGGGATATATGTAGAGCTTTATCTTTAAGAGTTTATACACAGTGAAAGGCATTTACATAACCATCTCACAATAGAATCAAATGAATCTAAGTTAATAGTAGTAAAGATCTGTCCCAAACTGGTTTGATTTTTGAAAGAAGAGAGAGAAAGGAGGGAAGGAGAAGTTCTGAAAGCAGTGGTTTTCAGAAGCTGTCAGGGCCAGCTGTAGACTGTGCTTTCTTTTACCTCCTCCAGTTGTCTATTGCAGTAGCAGCAAATAACAGTTATTAGTGAATACAAAGGTCATTAGTGGAGAGTTCCTGGTGTGTAATATAAGGCAGAAACATTTGAAACTAGTAAAGGCTGCGCTCATGGGAATTCTTGTTCAGCATAGTCAAGAAACTATTCACTTTTCTAACCTGGATTAGGATTTAACCACTCAAGTGCCCTCTCACTGCAATTCCTTCTAACTGGGGATCAAGAGAGACCATATAAAATATAGCACTTCACCACATCTTCAAGCCTGCATCGCTGTCTTTGATCTACTGAAAGCAGTAGAGTTAGAAATATCAACTAAGCCACACAAGGCCCAAGAACATAACAATCTCAGTCATCAGATTGCACTCAGAGCTTATTCTCCAGAACTCTGTATTTCTTATGAAGGATATTCTTGTGCAACATGGCAGTTTTCACACAAAAATTGTGATCTTATTAGTGGCCATTGTGATTTATATGATAGGGAAGGTGCTTAGAAGAGCCAAAGCAATGCTATCTGTGCATGAGAGCAGATAACACTAAATATGGAGATGCTGATGAACAGCTTAAAGACTGCTCAAGATAGAAGTAATAAGAATAATTGTGGAAGTTTTACTGTAACCCACACTTTCCCAGCTAAAACTGTAGATAAATCCATGAAAAGGTCCAAGTTGCTGCCACTTACAGGTTTCCCTATATAAGAAACTCATAACAATGTTTAATCCAATTATTTTCCTTTGCTTTGGTATTATTAGATCTCACCCAGTGCTCAAACATAAAAAATTCTGTTACACTATTTTAAATGAGTTATTTAATGAATGTTTGTGGCTGCAGAGATTGTGATGAAATTAACAGTCATACATTTATAGTTACTATTACATAACTGAAGAATTAACAAATGCTTATTTCTGTAGCCCAGAGGAAGGAATCTTAAAAGATTCATAGAACAAGTAATAGTGAGAAGTTACTTTCTTCTATATATAAATCCTATAATCCAGTTTTAAACCTAGTAAAACCATATAAAAAATTTAGACAGCAAGGTTCGTATGTGCTTTATTCTTCCTTTCACGTTTAGGCCTTCGGGGAGCCCCAGGATATTCTTTGGATCAAGCTCACCATCTTCCAATCGAAATGGATCCATTGATTGGTATGTCAAGATGAAAACGTAGCGATGTATTTGAAAACTGCATTTTCAAGAATTATTGATTAAGCTATATTTGTATATTATGCTTCATTTAACACAGAAGATAGGAAAATATTTATTCTTGTCAGTCCTGGAGAACTAAAAGCATTAGCTATTGATGCTGAATGAATTACATGAGAGCTATTTGTTATTAACATCACCAGCAATTGGTATTTAAGAAACAACCAATTAAGTCAGTTGTTACATTGTCAGCCCATATCTATAATTCCGTTGTCTTATCAGGTTGCATTAGTAAAATAAAATGTGAGGGTCTGGTAGAGTTCACATATTTTCATTTCTTACAGCCAGCACTGTATATCAGTGCACATGCAGATCCATTTCTTTTCATTCAACTTATGATTAGGATTGATTTAGTTGGCATTACTAAATTAATGAAGAAAAGGCTGGATTTTAAATTGATGCATGAGTGTATTTTTTTAAATCCAAAAATATTTGACAAAGTGAAGTGTTTTGAGAAATAGCATCTGCTTAAACTGTTAGAGAGACTGCAGGACTTGTATTCCTAACAGTCATTATTTCTCTTTGATTGCAACTATTTGCTTTGTGGTTTGTTGGTTATTTTTTTGCAGTAAGTGTATTTTTGAGACAGAAATTGTGGATAGGGAAGGTTCTTAGAATCTATTTTGCAGAATTGGTGAGAAAAAAATGCATTTTTAAACATCTCCAGATGAAAAGTTCCTTTTTCGTCTGTGTCAATATTCGCGGTTGAAAGATTTACATACAAGTACCTCAGGAGAGCTAGCTTTCTCATTCTGTATGCTTCATTTGCTCATATAATGACAATGGTTTCCTCTTCAGATTTTCCTCTCAAAAGGTGCCCACCTGTTCTGTGAATTTGAGTAATTTTTTATTCATTATCTTTCAGAGGATGGACATAGAGGGTCTGGTAATTTAAATATGTGTTCTTGGAATGTACACAAACATGTTATTAACTCTTACAAGAAAATTTAAAATAGGGGTTTTTTGGGGGGTTGAATCTCTTATTTCATGCAGTTGTGAGCAGTTTAAGTAGTGTAACCAAAAATAGGGACACATGAAATTTCAGAATATTATCTGCATTTAGTTGTGTTCCTACGGTAGGAGAAACATGTCTCTCAGAGTGAGTTTTATCTCACCTAACTTCAATTATCTGAAGTAAGTTATCAAGATTCCCTCTAGCAAGAGAAACTGTCCTCTGGAACACTTGGGCAGCTATTACAGCATGAGATGACTTGCCATGTGAAGCGATGTCTCTCACTCTCCAGTGAGTATAAAGGGAGAGTAGATGATTAACTTAGATTATATACTGACCTTCCAGAAAGTTAATATTAGGTTGGAGGGAACACACCTTTATTGTATTGCCAGATCTTGTCTGTTGTGAGTCAGGGGAGGTAAATAGCACATTAGCTCTGTCTGACGGTGGGTGTGGTGGGATTCTGCATGAACCATTCCTTTTCCCTCTATCTGGGGGAATTTCCAGGTGGCATTGCCTCTTTTAACATTATTGCCCATGGCCTGGCTCCCTACTTGAAGCATAGATGAGAAGACAGTGTTTAAAAAAGCACATTCAATTTAAATTGTTTCATTGCTTGAATCCTTATGTCTTTGATCTGGTTAAGCTTCTGCACGTATGGGGGAATGTCAAAGTCACACAACACAAACTGGGATATTTTCTGTAGGAGAGGTACCAACCAGGAAGAATTGACTTTCTGCAATATTGTTAGCGTTGACTTGGATTTTAAATGGACTTCCATCACCTTCCCTTAGTTCAGTTTGGTTTTGGAGAGTACTTCGGCAGAGCACTTAAAATATTACCACATATTATGCAGTGCATCAGGCAGTTTATAAGAAATTGTCATCTCCTGTAAAATCTTTTGTCTTATTCAAAGGGAAACCAGAAGTCTCACAATAATTTTGTATTTCTGACACCCATATAGACAGCTCTAAATGTTGATATTCAAAATGCTTACTCAACAACAAATTCACAGTTCATTGAAAGTTAAATGTATTCATTTTCTCCTGTAAGTGGATGACAGGAAGGTGTTGGAACAGCTTACTTGTAAAATGTGTTTTGCATTTTGTTACAGCCAATAACTCCGGTGTGAACAAACGGCAGATCACAGACCTTGTGGATCAGAGCATCCAGATCAATGCACATTGCTTCGTGGTCACAGCAGATAATCGCTACATTCTTATCTGTGGTTTCTGGGACAAGAGCTTTCGAGTTTATTCTACGGAAACAGGTGAACCTAAATACAACCACCTGTTTCTTCTTAGGTCACAAAGTGGACGGTTGTCTTAATACTACCGTATCTAATGCCTGTGCTTACCCCTCAATAAATGATAAAGGGCAATTTATAAAATCCTTCATTATTGTTTGAGCATAATAGCTTTAAGATGCTTTTTCTTTGAAGATAAAGGACATAAAAGAAAACAGAAAGGCATACAGTTTTGTTGGTGGTAACTTTTGAAAACCATAGTTATGTTCAGGGAATCAGTCATATCAAAAGGATCAACCAAAATTTTTGTCACAATATTTTCATGGCTGTATTGTTTCTGTCTCTATTTATTTAATGTAATAAGGAAGTTGGTTGCATAGCCTGCTACCAAGAGCCAATATTTTGTTTCTTTGTCTGATTGCTTAGCCTAATATCATTCAATATATTGCTGAAAACTTATTGCAATAATAGAAAGAAGGAGGTGATGATCATAGTAAACCTTAGTTTGACATTAACATAGAACAAATACACATTTTTAATGTTATTACATTATAATGTAGCACGATTATGGAAAAGTTCATGCACTGTCTTATTCATATAATTCATTAAATTCACAAATAGTGTTCTAACACCATTGCTTAAATACTGATGGAGCAGTAACTCCACTTAATATTCAGTGACTGCTGCACTGACTTGATTTTCAGAGACAGGGTTAGGCTATGGACTGACACAGAGCACAGCCCTCAATAGGAACATAAACAGAGAAAAAAAAAATTATCTTTGTGATTTTTTAATCTTGTTGTAGCATGTAGTGAACTCTAATTAAAGGACATGAGGCAAAAATTACATTTGAACTGCATATTTGTTAATGATTTAGTTAATGATTTCTAAATGCTGCAAGTACTTAAAAAAACTGAATTTGCATCACTTTGCACTCCCACCAGGAAAATTAACTCAGATTGTGTTTGGCCACTGGGATGTCGTGACTTGCCTTGCCAGATCAGAGTCCTATATTGGTGGTGATTGCTACATCGTATCTGGGTCTCGTGATGCTACATTGCTGCTTTGGTACTGGAGTGGCCGACACCATATTATAGGTGACAATCCAAATAGCAGTAAGTATATCCTGTAAAAAGCACATTCCTGAGAGGTCCACTCTCACACCTATTCATTTTCAACATTCCTTCTGTCAGCTTCAGAAGGTATTACTAAATGTATCAATTACTTCACTTACAGGTTGAAAGTTGGTATAAAAGCAGCACCACATGCTAAGCAATTCATTGAGTACTAGCCAAAAAATGTTTAAACAGTCTGTGCATGGTAACAGATAATAGTATGGGAGTAATTCTGAAATTCATAATTGCCTTTATCATTTAGAGCATCATGTCATCATAAACTAGAACAAGATGGTTATGGCCTTTAAGTGACAGGACATATATCACTATATTTTGACTTTCCTTTCCCCAGAAATATTTTTTGGCATTTTAACATACTCCTTTTGTGCTACAGCATGCTATATCAGCTGCTCGCCTTTTCAAAAAAGGAATGTCTCACATGCCATGGAATTAAACAAGTCTCTGAGAAAGGTCTTTCTATAGCAAGTAAACCTTTGGAGAAGTAAGGTGACTGAATAGAAATAGAAAAAGATAAAATGTCAGAAAGAGTTTACGTTTCTTTCACAGGGGACTAACTATCAGTGCTTTGCAGAGTGAAGGGGACACAATAATAATAATATTATTAATTTATATAGGAGGGTGCTTGGACTGCACTTCTAATTTACAAGGTCCCTTCACCAAAGCCAGAAATAGGACCACAGCTAAAGACAAGAGCAACTTTGGATGCCTGCATGATTCATATCAAGTATTAGTAATTTCTGTGCTGAGAGTCAGAAAAAATTAAGAGCTTGCTCCTTTCATTGAATTAAAAATGTAAGACTTTTCCTTTACTTCCTTTGATTATGTGGGGCTTGGACAACCTTGCCATTAGCATCTCCTGACTGGATGATACAAACCACTCCACTTCTTTTGCAGATAAATTTATTTTAGTTCTGATACCTTTTTCTCATCATGAACATATCTGAATGCAAGAAGGTGGTGCTTTTTGGAATCTCAGGTTTAATATCTCAGCTGTGTAACTTTGGAAGTGTCTGCCTTGGAGAACTTTAATTTTATGAAATGAAAGGATATCCGTCAGCTGACAGAAGTCAATGAAAACAAAACCCAATCGTATGATTTGCTCTCTATCTCTTCCTCTATATGGATAAGGTACTGTTTTGCTGAAGAAGAGGCCTTATAGTCAGATTAATGGGAGACTGTGCTGCAGATAGTCATGTCCAGGCAAATGTAATCTTGCAGATACCCAGGAAGATTAAATAGCTAAGTCTGCTGTGCTAGCTTCCAAAAATATTGACCAGATTTCTTACTACTCATGTTGAAGACATGTTGAAGACTCATGTTGAGGAAGAGCGATGTGATCACTATTATTGCTATCTCCACTCATTGAATTAAAGTTAACATGGATATGCTAATTATATACTGGTACTGTACTATAACCAGAACTTCATGTGTTGTAAACATGTCTTTATTAACAGCTAGTTTGACTTTTCATGAACATACATCAGTAAGGATAGACCACATTAGTGATTATGTGCCTGAAGTAATTCTACAACTACTAAATCTTTCTGCTGAAGTACTGGCTACTAGATTTTATTCCCTACCATGAACAGACATGATAGCTTGTTGTATGACTGATTCCCTGTATACTAATTTTCAGGAGTGAAACATTCTCAATAATCCTTGTGAACCTAAGTTTGAAGTTTTACATAGTTTACGCCACCGAAGTAGTAAAGAAATATTTCCTAATCTACTCATCTAGACTTACTGGTAGAAGATTAGGATTTATCTTGTAGGAAAAATGAAAGTGAGATGTTCACTGTAGGTCAAATCCAATTAGTTAACATCTTTGGAATGAATTTCCAGAAAGATGTAGATGCTATTTTCAGGGAAAAAATGGGGGATTAGTTTTTTGAAAGCTGTCATCTGGAGGCACAGATAAGGTATTTTATATCACAGACTGTAAGAAGGTGAAGAATTCAAAGAAAAATGTCAGGTATAGTAATTATCTGGGTTAGATGCTTGACTTTATAATGATCTTTTAAGCTGAAAGACAGTTAATTATCAATTTCAGCTTCAATGCACCCAATTACCAAAAGGAATTTTAGTTGTTTCAGAAAACGTTAAGGGGGGGCGGGGAGGAAAGCAGACCCTCAGTCGTAAACATTTTTTGTAGTTCAATGTTGGTATAGAAAAATGTGGATACTATTTCATTAGGAACCATAGCGATCACAATCATTTATTGTGAAATACTCTCAGGCAAAAGATTGTCAGAACAAACTCCTTACCGATTCTGCTAAAATTCCATATTCCAGAATCCATGAGTTAGATAAAATCTTTACTAAACAACACATATGTCAATAACCCAACCTGTAGGACTTACTTAGAACCTTCTGCTGAAATACCTGCATGGGCATGTGCTCAGAGGGTGACCTCAGCTGTGTCTGTGGGAAATACAGAACCAGCTCTGGTTTAGAGAGGAGAATGGAGAAAAATTGTGTCTTGGATAAGACTCTTGCAAGTGGCTGCTCCAGCTCAGTAGTTGAAAACTTGCCTATGAGAGCATGGTGAGCTTCCTTTTATAATTTTAAAATAATTTTTCCAATCAATGCATTTATTAAGTTGTCACTTTTATTCTACAGTAAGTATCAAAAAGCAGTTTCTGTTTCAGTTTGCACTTGTCACAATGTCTTGACACTTCTCACAATTGTTGTGAGAAGACTGAAAATTTCCTGGATTTTAAATACAATGTTTTCCATGGAGTAGGTTTCAAAAGTAGCTTGCAAAAACCCTTCTGGTTGGCATGTTTGTCTAGGAAGTGGGAGACTAAGTTCTTGGCATCCAGAGACTCAGGGAATTCAAACCTGCATTCCCATATTCACAAGCATATGTTGACTATCAGGCTATAAATTAACGCAGAAGGGGCGGCCTGTGAATGTCCAGCTTTGGTGGAAAGCAAAATTCTTTTCTCTGTCCCTGTTTATTGGTCTCATATGACATGATGATTGCATGAAAATCAAGATAAATCAAGAAATCAGGAACCAAAACTGCATACCTTCGACAGCAGTACATAGGGCAAATCGTCTCCCTACTTGTACTTCCTCTGGTCCAACAACAGTTGGTTTCATGGCTATGTAATGGCTAACCTCCAATAGCAGCGATAGAAAATGTCCTTTTCCAGCCTAGACTAGAGGCTGGTGCCTGGGGATGCTCCTGGAAAGTGGGAGATGTGGCATGAATTCCTTCAGGCTGAAGGGGAGTTGAATGTAGGGTTTTGTGTTTTTATGTACGTTTGAGCCTCCCTTTGTTTCTTTATCCTTGCTTAGATGAGTACCACCTTTGGGAAAAACACTGAACTGAATGAAGCTTAGTGATCTCGCCAGGGTCAGTTACTTACTCTCTAAGCCAAAATTGTCCATGTGAAATAGGTAATCTGAATCTGCTCCTTATTAAGCTGATGACCACATTATATACATCTGCTGCAGTTGAGAGAACAGTGAAAGGAATCTGTTTTCTCTTAGGAAGACACGGCACATGCAAAGGACATAGTTTGCTTATTTTAATTCTTTGAAGTGATCTGGAAAATGTAAATCTTTGCAGTTCTAAGAGATAGAATACAAAAATTATTGTGATGGAGTTTGACAATTTGGGTTTTGATTTTTTTTCTCCTATAATACATAGGGATTTGTTTTAGCTGAGCGCTAATTTGTATACAAATTTCCCCTCACATAGTAACTGTATTAGTCATCACAAAAAGAAGCAAAGAGAGTACATGATATGCCCTGGAGTTCAACATGTATCGTTATAGTTGTTTTATTTTTATATTTTATGGGTGCTTTATTGAATGTCTCTTTCAAACAAGTGACTTTGAAAATGAGAATTATCTCCGAGTCTTTGAACAGATACCAAAGTGGATGATAGAATTGCAGAAAAGTGAGGGACAGATGCTTTCATCTGAAACAGACACAAATTCAGAAACTAATTTGGAAGTGATAAAAATTAATTTGCACACTTTAATTGGAATCAGACTCCTGCATGAAAGAAAGGAAGTGTAGGCAGCTTGTGCTAAAAGCTGATTGAATTTTTTGTCAGGTAAGTATGTTGGACTTGGCCGCTTATCCTCTTGAGCCTCTCTGTGCAATATATTACATTCACCCTCTGACTGGTGTTCTTTAAAAGGATCAATGCTATTCCTGTTTTGTCCCTAGAGCCTGAAATTTCATTGATCTTGGGACTTGACATTTCTCATTACCTATTGTAGCTTCCACGAGGATGGTCACAAGAAGTACGAGAGTTAACCCTACTTTTTCTAATGGGAACTGTGCTGACCATTGGAAAATATTGTGCCTATCAGCCCTAAGCTGGGTTTGTTTAGCATTATAACATAATCCTCAGAGGTGCTAACAATTCACCCCATCCCAGTGCATGCATTCTGTATATACCTGAAAGGGAGGGTGAGTGTTACCGTAAAGGAGCTCTGTCAAGTTAACCTGCACTATTTTATAAGTCTCTCATGAAGTATATGTTTGTTTGTTCCTTCTACATAACATGTTTTTGAAACATTTTAAAATTTTGAAGATCACGGGTTTTGTGACTTTGTATCTTGAAACAGGAGTTATTCTGAACTCAGAATTTTCACTTATTCTTTTATATCCCTCCACATTTTAATACCCTATAACATGCCCTAGTTTAACCTTGAAAGGGCAGCAGTTTAAAAATAGCCACCAGTGTGTTCTGTACCAAATGGACTGGATGGCTGTCTGAAGGTCCTGTGTAAGCACATTGGCACAATGTGCTTTGCATGTTTAAAGAGCTATTACAGTACTTGCATGTTTGTACAATTTAGGTATTAATTTTTAAAATAAAGTATATTGGCACTATTCCGCCAGAGTAGAAGCTCTTTGAAAACCAGTGTGTAATTTTTATTGGCACCATCTCTACTCTGGTAGCCAAAGCATCTCTCTCTTAAGACTGCTAAGCAAAGGTAAATGAGCCAATAACATACCTGAACTAATGCAGTTATATCTAGCATTTTATCAACAGATGTCTGTGCCCATGTTTTGCTGCATACCCAATGGGAGCTGTACAGGCAGGGCAGTTCAGTGACTTGCCAAAGTTCTCAAAGCAATTTAGTGCAAGAAATAGGAAGAAAAGCTGCAAATCCTTACTCTCCTCTCCTCCACTCTGTTTTTCCTTTTGGGCTCTGGACAGTTGCAAGATATCTGAAAGTCCACTCACCTTAGTGAGTTCTTTGTAGATATATACAATGCTGCTCACATTCCTCAACAAATAAATCGGTTCTGCCAGAGGTGAGAATATTTTGAATATATGAATATTTTTCTGTCAGCAATCTTTCTTTTATAACCATTGCTCCCTCATGCTGTAGACATTGTTATTGGCTATTTCCTATTTTGAAATATTCCTATTTATTGGTTTTAGCCTTATCTTTTTGTCAAACTCCAGGATGTTTTCTTCTGACAGTAAAAATTCAAGAAGGGTATTACATTTTCACTTCCATGAAAGCCACAGTATTTTCTAAGATTTTTTTTTTTTTTCTGAAGAGTATGCCCTCAAAACTGCTACTAGTAAAGCAAATAGTAAAGTAAATTATTTTCAACAAATAATTCAGCTATAGCCTTTGTACTTCCGTCAAAGTCAGAGATGAAATGGAAGCTGGAATTTGCCTTGTGCTCTCATGCTTCTTTATACAGAAGACCCCTAGATGTGTCCCTGTAGCATTCTGTACATAATCCCTGTAAAAGAACAATATGAGAGAAATAGTAACACTGTCTGTTCTCTTTCTTTTCTTCTTCTTTTTTTTCCTTACCTTATGAGAGCACCATTTGTTCCAGAAAAACATCACAATAGTATTAAGCATTATATTTTTCAGAGAGAAGGGAAGATGTATTTTATTTTAGACTTTGTAGAAAAACTTACTTGTTTGGAAATACAAGAGATGGGGTTTTTTTTCTCCTTCTGCCCTCTAGTAATTCAGTTCAAAGGTGCTCCTTTGGGGAAATTACAGGGAGTTTACAGTGATGGTATCTCAGTTCATAGGTAAGGTATTTTCACCTGCAATTCCCTCAGAGCTGCAGTCTTTGACCTCTAGCTGCATCTATCAGTGGTGATGTGACAGTGACAGAATATTTTCCTAGATTTTGAATGATTCCTGGAGTTCACAACTTCTGTCCTTAGCAATAAAATGTAATATGACTGAGGCTCTTTCCCCCATGCCACAGCTTTTCCTGTAGAAAGTATCACTGAATAATTTTTTCTTTGAGCCCTAAGGGGAAAAATCCCATTTTCAATTACTGTTGGACTGTTACTCCTAATAATGGTACTCCATTATTAATTTGTATTTACTGAAAAACAGGACTCAAACATCTATGTTTCAGGGTAGTTGTGTCTTATAAGCATTTTCCTTTATAAATCAAGAAATCAACTAAATATGTTCATTTTTCATATTGTGACATTTTACAGTTTCATGATATTACAGTGTTTTCCTAGGAAACACTGAGGAAAATGTCCTTTTGAAAATTGCATTATTTCTTTTCCCTTAAAAAATTTCTAACCATCTAATAATTTCAGTCATTCACCCTTGCAGTCTGATGACACTACTGTATACACCTCTGTAATCAGAGCTTAAGCCAAGATGACCTTTGAGCATAATTCCTCTTTTTTTCCAGGAGGACGTACAGAACAAAAAAAAAATTCTGAATTTAGTTGAATTACATTTTTTTTTCCACTTTTCTGTTGTGCACTTGGAGAAAAACTCAAAAGGAGACGGGGTTCTCAACAGCAACATTGATGGGGAAATCATAAAAATCTAAAGCTCAAAATGTAGCTAATCTTTGATGAGATACGCAAAGCATCTTTCTGTGTTTCTTCCAACATCCATCCTTCCCTAGCATTAAAGCCCAGTTTTCAGTTCACATCTTCAGTTTCCAGACCAGAAAGATTCTTTTCTTGCAGGCTAGATTAAAGACTGGAAACTAGGATTTATTGGGGTAGCTGTTTTCATTAGAGATAGGAAAGTGTTAATGTGTCTGTACAATGCAATGTTAAGACCAGGTAGATTGACCCACCCTGTACTATTGGGTCCAAAACTAAAGTTGTTAAATCCATGGTTGGTAGTTCTCAGCTGGTTCAGAAAGATAGTAAAATACATGGAATTATTATTAAAATTTTGATGACAGGAGACATTAGGGTTTGGCAAGGAATACTATAGATTCACCCTAAAATTTCAAGAACTTTTGTTATATACAGTTCTGGCTGCCCGAATTTTAAGAAAGAACTTGGAGCTAGACAGGCACAGTCAGTTGCTACGATGACTAAAAAATGGCAAGCCCCTCACTTCAATGGAGTTTGTAAGAGTTTGGTTTGTTTAATAGAGTCAAAAGGAAAGGCCGAGAGGGCTGATTTCTTCTGTAAGTATTGGGGGAAAACACAAGAGAGGGAGAAGGCCTGAAGCTAAAGGACAGAGATACAAGGTAGACAGGAATAAACTCAGACTGAAAATCAGAATACTTCTCTCCTTTAGAGTGGGAAAGGTCTGGAACATCCTTCCAAGTTACATACCCAGATAGCCATTTCACTAATTTATTAACAGGTTTATATGAGGTGAGGGTCTGCAATAAAAAAGACGACATTCATTGACCCGCAAAAGTCTATCCAAGCCTCCATTCCTAAAGCATATCTTTCAGAAACCCATGCAATATTGCTTAGCTACTCCAGGCGTTCCCTTGTTAATTTGTTTTAGGGTTTAACTGTTTTTCCAGTTAGCAAACTGCATTTTATTGCAGGGTTGAAATGTGTGCAGCCATTCACCCATTGGACCTTGCGCTGCCATTAGCTGCAAGATAAATTTCTGGGCTATTGGACATCTTTTACGCCTGTGACTCCTCACTATGGTGGTCAAGTCACTGCTTTGCTGCCTGTGCAGTGAAGAGAGAAAACACTTTAAATAGCATGCAGCCTCCTGTCTTATTGTCTATATCAGTTATGTAACCCTCCTTTAAGCTCATTTCTGTAAATGTGGGTACAAGATTTTAATCTTTCTGGTCTATGGTGGCAAGATAGTTCTCAACTTCTATTTGCTATTGTAGGGTATTGCATTGAAAGTTAATATTGAGGGAGTTTTCCTTTCTGGCTCCGTAAATCCTTCTTTGTCTCACTGCCTTCCAGAACAGAATCTCCTCTCCAGTGAGCAGAGCTTGTGCTTGTCCAGGAGCATCAACCTTCCACCTGGCTGCATTGAAAATAAATAAAATAAACACATTTTGCTCCCCTTTTATTTAACTAGGCAATGCAGAGAATATTAAAATAATTACTTTCTCTCTTCATTATACAGTTGCCCATGAATCTTTGTAGCAGTTTTATATACAACCATATCTTACCAGCAAAGATTTTGTATTATCCTGTAGATAACATTACTGGTTATTATTCAGTCAAGAATCAATTCCCAGCTCCTAATAGGACACCCTAATTTCCAATATTCTAATATGTAGCTCATAGTAGTTACCTTTCTACGGACAAAAAATTTTAAGATTTGTCATTGAACCAGCTTCTGTACCACCCATGTTGTCCACAGTCAGTTCCAGATAAAACAGGTTTAAATCAAAACATTGTATTACTAAGACAAATATCTTGAAAAAATACATGGAGGCCATTTTAACATAGCCATCTTTATCAACTATACCTGTCATCTTGTCAAGAACAGATAAGAAGCTTGCTTGACAAGACTCCCATTCCAGTACAGCATGGTGACTGGCATTAATGACATTTTTGCTTCCAATTCTTTGTTGACAGACCTGTGGATTAACTGTTTTGTTATTTTGCGCAGGATTAATGTTACAGTAATTCATCTGTAGTTCCCTAGGTCATTTCTTTTATCCTTTTTAAGTATTTGAACTACACTGGCAGAGCTCCAGTCCTTTGGAGTTTCCCAGTTTTCTATATTTCATTTGTACAGAGTAAATATAACCAGATGAAATCTGTGTTATCTAGCAAGTTGCTAATTTTCTGTTACTGATTAACTTACTTTGCCTGGCAAAGCAATATCAAATACTGAGCAATTCCTTACTGCATATAGGAGTTTCACTGTTAAGATGTCAGTATCTGTTATTATTAGAAACAACAGAAATGTTGCTATCTGTCATATAAACACTCATAAATGCCCACTTGAACCCAAAATAAAACACATTTCTCTCCTGAATATAAAAGATAAATATTTAGGGAGTAGCCTATCCTAGTCTTTAATAAATTAAATGTGATAAAAATGGCATTGGTATCCATAGTGATATATATAAAATTATGTATACCTATAACCATTTTTAGGTATAATTTTAATCTATAAGCATTCAATGTGTCTCTGAATCAATAATGTCTATGCAATAGTAGTATCTTTCGAGTACAGTGCTGTTCCTTCCCTCTTCTTTTCCTACCACCAGTTTCATGAAACAAATTATGATTGTTAATATAGGAACATCCTCAACTCATGCTACTCTTCAGGTTCCTAGCAGAAGTCTAGAGACATATACGCCTAATAGCAGATCTTTACATTACAGCTTCTTTTAATACCACCACATTTTGTGTTCTTTAGCTATACATGTTCAGTATTTTTAGGTCATAAACCAGCAATGTATTGTTGTCATTTGTGTATTGTAAATAGCACACAGTCCATAATTTCGAAACCAAAGAAATTTTCTTCTTGTTAATGTATGAATTAATGCATTGGGAAGCTGTGCTTATGAAACTTTATGATATCTGAATGTATTTTGCTCAGAAACCTAACTATGAGATATTTAAACACACTGCACCTCTGATGCTTACTGATTTAAGACAAATTACAGCAAAGTTATTTTGTTGATAAAACAGGTCTGGTTTGGTATTCCTCTGTTGTTTCCTTTTTTTGTTTTTCTTCTTCTGTTTTTTTTAACAGGTGATTATCCAGCTCCTCGGGCTGTTCTAACTGGTCATGACCATGAAGTTGTCTGTGTGTCGGTCTGTGCAGAGCTGGGACTTGTTATCAGTGGTGCTAAAGGTCAGAAATGTTTTTATGATTTAACTCTTAACATCTTTAGGTCCTTTTTTAGTGTACTTCTCAGTCTTCCCTCAAGCCACATGTAATTTAATTATCCAAAGTCTCCTCTACTAAGATGTGTTGTAATTCTGGGGGAATCTGCAGCAGCTTACTTTGAACATTACTTGCTATCTGGACTTGCGGGGTTTAGACACAAATTAAGTTGATCATTCTTTCCAACTGTCAGCCTGTGCCACTATTCCCCCCAGATCTGGAAGAGTAGCTGGGAAAAATTTATACAATAATTCATAATGACATCTACTGATTTTGAAGTGACCTGTTGATAGAGACCTGTATTTAGGGGAGGGCCAGTTCCAAGCCTTCCACCCTGATCTTAATTGAAAGGCAGTTTGTAGCACTGACCTCAGTCTCCTCGGCAAGGGAAGCAGGGTCAATTTGCTTGGTTTTGGATCTGTGGACAGCGTTTCATCCAGAAGGGGTTTTGCAGGTTTGTTGTTACTTCTCTTCTATTAAACTTTTTGAGCCAAAGTTCACACTTTCTCCCTGTTACTTATCTATGGAATTCAGAGTATCCGACAATTGCTAATGCGAATGTTCAAAATACCTTTCCAAACCTGCAGCAGTCTCCTGTGTAACTGGTAATCAAAGTAAATAAAGCACCCGCCTCAATGAGTGTTTGTTTCATCTTTCCTTATTCTGTTTCTCCTTCATTTGTTCCATTTCACTTGTTCTGCCCACCTTTTCCTTTTCCTCTTTAATTCCATGCCCACTTTTCTTCCCCCACTGCCCTCTTTTGTTCAGCTTCTTTTCTTAATTTGGCAAACTGCATGTGTTTTTCTGTTTTCCTATTTGCGTCCCCCTTCTCTTACTTTCTTTTGTGCTACGTTATCTCTTCTCCCTTCTTATTTTCTTTCTTTACATTACCCTTGTCCTTCCTTAAGGTTCTTCTTCCTTGTATCTCTTCCTATCTCATTTCCACTCCACTTGTACATCCACATCCAACTACTTGCTTTCTCTGTCTATAGCGATGCCTGTTTTATCTATTGCCATGGATATCCTTGTACACCTTTTTAAAAAGTTTGCTGCTTCTGAGGGTAAGAAGGATGTGATGCTTGCTCTGCCGGCTTTTGCTCACAGCTAAGCTCCTAGGCTATCGTCTTTTATGCTGCCTCAGAGCTCAACATTTATTTTCAAAGCTAAGTGTGAAACTTTTGAGTAAAAGCATTTTTAACAGGAAATCCTAATGGGTCATTAACTCTCATAATGGCATACTAAATAACAGTGGTAGGCGAAGTCAAGACATTTATGAAAAAAATGTAGAGTCACGCTGAACCTAAAGCTTTTCTTGCAGCACTGCTATTTCTTATCTTTTAAGGCAGTATGCAGTGTACCCTTTCCAACTATTTTTTTGCAAAATTCCTCTTATTAAAATAGCTGGAATCTGTAGTCAGTTATCTTCTGCTTCATTAAGTATGTCATGCTTTGGTAACTTACATATATTTTTAGAGGTAAAAGCTGCTGGGGAACCAAAGACTTCTACATCAAATCCAGAATATGTTTGTAATTGATCCAGAGAAATGGAGGCCCAGTCTGTCCCCTGAGTTACTCTTCTCCTGTTCTTCCTCTTCAAACTCTATTCCATATATAAATGGAGAGAGAAAAACACTTTTTTATTGCCGTTTTCCAGCAGATGCCTGTTGTAACGCTTCTTCTTCCTGTCCTTCCTAGTCCCTTCCCAGTTTTTTAGACTGCATTTCACAGCACTGCTGTGTTGCTCTGTCTTCCTGCCTGAGCGCTGCCTGTGCTTCCTCGCGGGGAGGCTGCCCCTCTGGAGCTGGCTGTGGCACTGCGATAACACACGCAGCACGCCAGAGAACCTGCTGAGGCAGGGAGGCAGCACATATAGGACTCCTCTGAGAAAAATCTGGTGTGTCAGGCTGATGCTTGCACATTCTTATCCAACAAACCCAAAAAAGAGCAGTCAGTCTGTATGTCTTCACGGCAGCATCCTAAATCAGAAGATTTTCTTTGTGCTTTTTCATGTCCGTGGCCAATCAGCTGAGTCAAGGTAGTAGCAGTTTGTCAGTGTGCTTGAATATGAAAGTATTACATTTTTCTTTTGAAAAATCTAACATGGTAATTATTCTAAAGGTGGAGGTATCACTTCTTATAACATTCTGGCACTTCATTATTTCCAAAGCTGAAACGCAACTATTTGAGAAAATCAATTAATTCCATTGCAGTTGTATCCCATGGACCCAGTCAGGCTTGGCGTCTCTCTGCATAGGGCTTTGGGGTCTCGCTGCATGAGGCTTTGTGCAAACACAGGTAACAGCCTCTACCAGAGGTCTCACAGGCAAATGCACTGATGCTGTGATTCATTCTACCTGGGCAAACCCAGCTGCTGTGTGATTTTCAGAGAAGTTAGAAGGGCTTAATGTGAGGTGGCTGAGTCTGCCAGTATGAATTTACTTTCAGGGTCATGAGCCAGTTGTATAACGAAGAGATTACTGTGCTGTCCAGGAGTATCCTGTGATTCATAAAAGAAAACATTCAGTATTTACCATGACTCATTGCATTTATCACAGAATTGACTCGTTTTCTTAGTAGGAATATGGATCTCGCTTTCAAAAGAGCTTTTCTCATAGATCTTGAAATGACAATAGCCTGGTGTTGCATCTTAAAATGTACATTGTAGATTTCATAGCTGTTTTTTTCTTGCATAAGCAGTAATAAAAAGACATTAAAATCTCATATTAAAATCTCTCTGGAGTAAATGCAGTTATAGTGTGGTCTCCTAAAAGCTCTTGTCGTCCAGATATCATAGTAACTCTGTTGGCTGTCAGATGACACCCATTGTTAAAACCATTCAGGACTGAAATCTATGCATATAACACATTCATTGGGGGAGAAGGCCTACAGGAACTGCCATTGTTTATAGGAGAAATATGCAGTGATACAATTATATGCCCTCTGGGAGTTGCTCCTACTAGTCACTGATAGGGCCCCATCTGTTTAATGTGAATGGGCAGGCTAAAGAGAGTTCAGGTTGTTGGAGGAAGGCAGTAAGGCTGAGGCTTCCAAATGCTTGGAAAGAGGAAAGAATATTTTAGAAGATAGGTCAATGAAAACTCCTACCAGTTTAAGTAAATAATAAGCTACTACTTTTAGGCATGTTGTATCTGTTTTCTTAACACGATATCTCTTGCATTTCTTTTTCTGTTGTATATTTTAAATTCTTTAGTAAACGTTGCTGCTTCTTATATCTATGCAGGACTAATGTGATCTAAATGTGTATTAAGCATTGTCTCTTTGCACAGTGTATATAATTTGTATAAGCAGCAAATATATGATATATTATGTTTTCATATACAGAAGGCCCTTGTCTGGTACACACAATTACTGGAGATTTGCTGAGAGCCCTGGAAGGAACAGAAAACTGCTTGTATCCTCGCTTAATTTCAGTATCTAGTGAAGGTCACTGCATCATCTTGGTTCAGCAATTTCAGCATTAATGGCAAACTCTTAGCTCAGATGGAGATCAATGATTCAACCAGGGTAAATCTAAATGCAAACAAACATTTGTTGTGTCTAAATTTAATTTATTTGCAGTGTGGTTTAAAGTAAATCACATATGTAAAATTACCTCCTCCTGGTTAAGTCATATGCAAACACAAATCCTCTCGTCTCCATCTCCAAATGCAAAAGTGCACTTGAGCTTTTCCAGAATAGATAAGAAAAATTTGTTTATGATCCCACACGATTCCTGGAATTTTTGTTTGGAATTAAATTTTGGTGGGCAATACATCTTTAAAACAAAATGCTCTGAAAAGAGTCCATTCTTCATTTATTAGCCAAGACATGAATTTGTGCCTTCAGGGCTCTGCTCTGTCACTAGCACTTGAAGCAGCATTAGGAATGCAGATCACTGCTCTGCTTTAGATGGTAGTGATGGCACCGAGTACGATAGGACAAACATCAAAATGTTATGTGCTGAACTCAAGTCTTGGCAGATTCAGTTAAAGAGCTTTTTGGTTATGTATCATGTTAAAAACCCCACAACTGTTTTATTTAAAATTTGGAGATCCAAAATTTGTTGGTTTATTTTTTGACTGGGGAGAAAGAGGAGTGGGAGCCTTTTTCTTCAGATTTAAAGTGGGAAGAGCAAAAGAAATGCATATAAGTTAGAATCATAGAATCATAGAATCGTTTAGGTTGGAAAAGACCTTTAAGATCATCCAGTCCAACCATTAACCTACACTACCAAGTCTACTCTAAACCAATCAAGGGTAGACTAGACTAAACCATGTCCCAAAGTGCCACATCTACACTTTTTTTGAACACTTTGTTGATTAATTTTTTGTAATACTGACCTGTTCCCATAACAGCTAACTGTGTACTTGGGTTTTGTTTTTTCTTCTCCTGAAGGCCATCCTCCTGAGCAGTGATGGGCAGAACCTGGTGACAGGGGGAGACAACGGTGTAGTGGAAGTATGGCAGGCCTGTGACTTCAAGCAGCTCTATATTTACCCTGGCTGTGATGCTGGCATAAGAGCTATGGATCTGTCTCACGATCAGAGGTGAGTTTGTCGTTAATATTTGCATGTAAATGGTAAAATTACACAAAGTATACATCTCCATGAACTTTAAGGTATGAATTTATGGTATGCAGTTGTTAACAGGATATAGTACAAAATCATTACCCTGGTTGTTATCTTCTTGATTTATCTGACTCAGCATTTCTTCTGATCCTTGCGTCTCATAGCACGAGTGCTTAACGTTAAGGTGAGGTCTTCTATCATTGAAGTCAGTAAGCCAGAGACTCCACTAGCAAAATACAAGTAAAATTACATTAACTTAAGAACATAGGAACAGTCAGACTGACCGGAATGCAGTAGTGGCTATTAAACAATGCCTTAAAATAAATTACAAAAGTTTGTGGTACATTTCTGATTTTCAGCTATGTAGAGCTTGAGAACTTCTTGGGGTTGCGTCTAGACTATAATGTGTAATATTATTAGTGGATCTATCCACCAGGAGTGAGTGTGGTCCTTTCCTTTGATCTTCTTGAGGAATGGAGATGCAATGTACAAGCCTAGATTTTTGCAGTCACTGCTGTGGCACTAAAAGGCATGCTGTAAATGTAAAAGATATATGAACCTGGTCCCTCAGTCTTCTGTTGTAATGTGATTATAATGTAAGCCTGTATGTTGCATTTATGCACAATCATGAGTGGATTTGCTCTTTACATCATGCATCAGTCTTGTATTTCTTATACAAAGTCAGGAGATGCAAAGAATTCACAGGATATTAGAAAAATCATACAGCATTCATTTCAGTTTCTTTTTCTTATACTTTTCAGCATTCCTATGCTATGTACCCATTTTGTAAAGCAACAAAAACACCTATAAACAAAATATGTACCTAATTTAGTCCTGTATGAGTAGACGACTTGAAACAAGTTTTTGTCTCAAACTAGTCTAATTGAAACTAACTTCCTGAAAGAGGCCTATTCGCTTCTGGAGCTTTGCCAGTTTATGCATACAGTACTGTGCTCTGTTCAAAGAGATTTATTTACACTGTAAAAAATTTCAGGTAGCCTATTTTCTCTATCTCTGACTGTAATACCAGGCTGGGAAGCCCCTGCTGTGCGAAGTGCTTTAAGTATCTGCTTAGTTTTAGTCACATAATTAAGCAGAGAATAGCTTTTGTATGGTTTGATAGAAATGGTGATAGATATCTAATCCAATCTGAAAACTCAGCTGCCAGGATTAGAGGCTACGTGATGACTGGAAAATCACCTCAACTATTGCCACCAGAATAACGTAAATATGGGGCTACATTTCAGTATGAAGCTTTTTAGGAGTACCAAGGCACGATCAGCTTATGATTAAGGGATCAGTTCAGTTGTCTTCGCAGAGGCATCTCACTCTGTCTGGAAGGCCCTAGGGTATCCAGCTGATCCCAGCTGCCAGCCAGTGTAGATGTCTCAGCCATCCTGGGGCACCTCCAGTGGCACGAGGTGCCTAAAATTAGGCAGCTGTGTTCTAAAACACCTGAAGGAAGGTGTTTTGGCATAGTTGTCTTCATGTGAGCTACGGGAATAAGCTCCCATAATAACCGTGGTGATTTACTTGCTACAGCCTGTGGAGTCGAGAGGAAAATTAAGCTCACCCTAAAGTACATGCCCAGTGACCTGTAGAGAGCTCGTCTCAGGCTGCACTGAGGGTACTGATTAGGGCCTAATTTGTTTGCCTATGCATAGCCAGTTAGTTCTGTTTGAGATACCCTGGAGTTCTGAGGTACATACCTGGGCTGACATGTGACGAAGGACCTAGTGAAGACCCACACCCTTCTGGAGAGGCAGCTGGAGGCAAGGCAGGATATGTGAGAGCATCTCAAATTTCATGATGCTTTTACCTATGTGAAGGCAACTGAATGGATCTCTAGATCTCCCTTGACCACAATGGGAACATGGAAATTTGGCTCACATGTCAACACCTAAATGTAGCGTCTCCACCGCAAACTGAATCATCCCACCCATGAGCTTAATCTTCAGACAGTGTTGCAAAAAGTGCCTTGTTCTTCTAGCTTTTTTACTGTTTATGGTAAACCATTGCTTGAGAAGGTAAAAGAGGATTAACAGGACCATCGTTTCTATCTTTTTCAGAACTCTGATTACTGGCATGGCTTCTGGCAGCATTGTAGCTTTTAATATAGATTTTAACCGGTGGCATTATGAACATCAGAACAGATACTGAAGCGGAATGAAGAACTGAAAGCCCAGGTAAAGCTGAGAGCACAAGTGCTGCAATGAAAGGTGTAGTCTCTGGTGGAAAACCACGTCTGCATTGACCTCCGTTGTACATTCCATTACACCCAGCAATAGCTGTACATTGTAGTCAGCAACCATTTTACTTTGTGTGTTTTTTCACAACCGAACACCAGCTGCTGAAAAGCAAGCTTGTATCATGTAAATTATATGAATTAGGAGATGTTTTGGTAATTATTTCATATATCTTTGTTTATTGAGAAAAGGTAGTAGGATGCGCCACAAGAGACTTTTGAAAATTCTGGGGAACCTTGTGTCCAGTTGTTTCAATGTTTAGGCTTTGAACCTAACATGCATCCCATCTCCAGCCTCTTTTCAAGCTGAGATAAAAAAAATACGTTTGATACTTTGTACATCAGATGCACATCTTAACTTTAAAGGGATACTTTTGTAAAAGTAAAACCTTGTATAAAGAACAAAACTGTTTCTTAATTTTATTGTGGAGTTACAACTTGCATGTACTTTAAACCTGATGTCTTGAAGGAACAGGTGCATTCACACAAATCAAACTGGAGATCTGCCTAAGGGTACAGCTTGTGTTAAAGGGTTGAATTTGGGCGCAAACAGTAATTTTGACATTTCCACCAACACATCTTTTTCACTTTTTGAATCTAAACTTTACCCCTCTTAAGTGGAGTTCTGCTCATGAAGCATTTGGATAAAAAGCCATCATTTGCCATATTTATACTTTATACAACAGAAATTAAATTCCTCCCTTTTAAATTCAAAGACTAGACAGAAAGGGAGCAAGAGGGAAGTTCAGTTTCATGCTTTGTAATGCTTAATGACTCCCAATACAGACAAAGTGCTATACTTCTGGATTATTAACATTTGGCATACAAATCATGGGCAAGAGAGCCCCCAGTGATTTTTTCCCTTATTTTTCCTCTGAGCAGCTTGGTTTATTTGACAGCCTTAGCTTCATTCTAAAGGTGACTGAGGTTATTCTTTTTGGTTCTTCTGAAAAATCTCACCCGAAGCCACTCAGACTAAGGCACTTCATGTTTTACAATACTGTAATGATAACTATCGGAATAATTTTCTGCACATTGTACTGATCAAATTACACACCCAGGGGTATATACACTTTAATTCATGTTTCTTCTTTGTATATTTGGTGACTGTATTGTCATAGATGTACATATTGTGTCGGTAGGGCTATGAGGCATGTAACAGGAATGTAATTTTCTCAGAATTTACACTCACTTGCAGTCATTTATTTAAAAAGATAATGGATTCTTTGTATTGGCACTTTGCACCAGAAACATATCATTATTTATTGATGTGATTACTTATTTGTTATCCACCTTGTATTAGTAAGTTTAGCACTGAATTTCCTTCTTCATTGTTGTTTGTATTTATAAGATTCTGAAATCATGGGGATCAACGTAATGATTAAGTTATTCATCACCCGTCTGTAAGCAATATCTTGAGTTTGTAGCTTAGAATTGGGAGACTATTGAACATCTGGAAGACAAGTTCATTTCATCTTGAGATCATGGTGAAATATTTTGGATATATAAATTCCTTAAGCTATTGTAACCATGTTTTATTGCAAAGATGTAAAATATGCCAGATGTGTGTGAGTTGGAAATCAAAAAGAAAAATAAAATATGCAAAGAATTCAGTGATTGTTTTTCATTTCAATGAACTTTTCATCAAAACATTCACATTATCATTAGGAACAAACAATTATTTTAAGAAATCCTCTCTTGTATGCTATGTATATGCTAAAAATTATGCGTGCCTGGGTGGTTGTATTTCCTGGGGTCTCAGAAAATAAAACAGAGTGTGTTTTGCAACTCTTTTGATTGTCAGTACATGAAGAGAAGCTACTAAAGACACTTTGATCAGCAGAAGTGAAAAATCAAACCTTTTAAGGGATATTTAGGATCCTTGTGAACAGGCAATAATCTTGTATAACAGACCTTGCAGAAAGCAAAGATCTGATGAGAACCATTTTGGTTATCTCTCAATATCTGACAAGATGGAATTAATTTCATCTTATTTTGGGCATTGGAAGTTAGGTATCTACACTCCCTGCGTAGCAGAACAAAACAGGTGGGATAAATTGCCTTTTGGAAATGCTGAGGTCCCTAGAAAGTTTACAGCAAGCAAGTGGAGATAGATAGTTATCTAAATGTCAGATGTCTAATTTAACGTAGCAATGGTAAGAAAAATACTTTCCTCATAATTAGAAAGCTCCCGACTGACTAAAAAGCAGAGTAACAGCCGACACTTCAATTTGTTGCCCCACTCATTGCCTTCCCATTTTGAAGGATTGTTCTTTAAACAGTTATCAAAATGAACTAAAGCCAGTATTTGAGAACCTTATTATATACGGTATACATTTTAGCAGGTATCTATTTATATCAATCAGCTTTTGAAGTGGATAACCTAATTTGATTGTTTTGGGGCTGGAGGAGAGTTGGGGAAGAGATGATTCGTACGTTAATAGTGGTATGTGAAACAGTTTATTGACATGTCACAACCTCCATCCCATTATTATACAAGTAGCCCCCCTAATTTCATATTTTATTCAACAAATCAATTTTAAAAAATGCACCATTGCAGTTAAGCCAAAAATGAGTATTACTATTATCCTAATTAATACTGTTGTTTGCATGAAGTCTCTGAGCTTTATGTGAAGTACAGTTTACTCACACATTAGAACTTTTTGTGCCCAAGCAAACCTTTGTATGATAAATTGGGCATGGGTTACAAAAAAGAAAAAAAAAAAATCCTACTGTATTGCATTCATGGGTAGCAGTACCCAAACAAGGCAGGCTCATAGTAGTAGTAGTAGTAGTAGTAATAATCATAAAGTGCCATAGGCACAAGGCAAGGAGAATGTATTAACAGGCTGGTATAGTCATATAGACCAGCCTGATACAGTTTTTGTGGTGAAACACCACTCTTGCCTTTTACTCTCTATTTAATTTCTATTTTTTAAGAAAAAACAAAAGTTATGATTGTGCCAGGATATTTAAATTCCTTTGTTGTTTTTGTTGATTTGTGTTAGTATACACTTATCTGCTGCAGTCTCTTAATGTAAAAAGACAATATACACAGATCTGCAGTTTATGTCGCAAGACTTTTCCAAAGCTTCAGCTGCCCCCTTTCTGTCACACACTAAAGCGGGGCTGGCTCACCTTTTTACTCTATAGAAATGAGAGTTACTAATTCCAGGGAGTCTCTGAGAGCTGCCTGTGGAAGATGAAGCAGCTTTGACCCAACTAGTTAAATGCAACCAATCTCTCAGCTAAGGGAGATGCAGCATTAAGGATACAACTGTGCAACTCAACTCAAATATACCTACAATGAAGATAACGTGCAGTTATTGGCTGTGTTCCTGTCATTCAGTCCTAGGTTAAGAATTGGACTATAAACTAATGCCATACCGGGAGGATGATTCAACAGCAACGAGGCTTATTCCTTGTCCAGATCCTACCACTGTTGAGGATGATGCTGCTTTCTTTACAAGAGCAACAATAAGAGAAAGGCTGCTGCATTTTACCCCAAGAAAAGACTAGTTAGGCTCAATTTACTGGGAAAGCCTCAGATAAATTATGATTATTTTGATAGAGAATCTCATGGGTTGTGCTTGGAGAGCTAAAAATGCTGCCTGTGAACAACAGTTGTGGCGAATACTTGTTATAATATAGTGCATCAACCCTGCTGACAAGCAAGCAGGAAGTTTGAAGCAAGCCCCATGCTGCCAGGGATAGAAGCATTAGAAGCAGACACAGGGAGTGAAGGGCTGACTTCTGATAACAGCAAGAGAACCACCTCCTGATACAAGATGTCTAGTACATAAGAATATTTCATTTGGAGACTTCAAGCTGAAGTTTATGCTCATGTTTTCCAAGGGTTTAATTGCGGACTGGTTTTATTTAGTCGTGTGTGTGTTTTATTTGCAAATTCTAAAATGAATGGACTAAAACTTAAGCTGGTATTTAAAGAAGGAAAGAAGTACTGGAAATTTCTATGTCTATGCAATACAGTACAGTTTATAGACTCTCTAACCCTGGTGATTAGTTTTGCAACATCTTGGAGTTAAGTTTCAAAATCTGCAACTGACAAGAAAAAGAAGTATGGAGATTGCTTTCTTGTAAAATTTATAAGCTGTAGCCATATAATTAGTTTACAGAGAGATTTACTTAGATTAAAATCTGCCAAACAGCTGATGGTTTATGGGTACCTCTATAGTGACATCATGCCTAAACAGCACTACAACTCTGCATCATTAGTTAGAAGTAAGCCCTCAATTGCACACCATTTGCACAAACAAGGACCTGGGTAACTAACGTGGGTACCTACATAGAAAATTTGGAGCCTGGAGTGCTTTTTATTCATGGGAGGATTGGCATAAGGGCCCCATGTGCCTAAGGGTGCCACAATGCCAAGCTACCTTCAGCCTAGCATTCCTAACATCAAGCAGAGAATATGCTTTTCTGTACAAAACTAGATAGGAAAAGAAAATCTCCTCTGGTGCCAGAAGATTACAGACAGCTAAAAGCTATCAGCACCAGTGGATTTGACTTAAAAGTTTCATGTCTGTTTATACTTTGAGGAGACTTAGTCTTGGCTGGATGCTGCAATGACCAAGCCCTGTGGCAAAGCTAATCCCAGTATCATAGCAGTGCAAATTTAAGAATGATGCACTTAGTTTCCCTCACTGTGTAGCAGAACTAGTGATTGCCAGAAAAGGCAGCAGAACAATTGAAAGTGATCTTTCAGTCTTGCTGTACAGCTATACATATAAATCCAGTGCCCGTGGCTGTTCAGATACATTAGTTTGTACAGAGCTATCAAACAGGAAATAAAATAGTGCCTGGTGACTGGTGCCCCTGCATGCACATCTTTTCAAATAATAATAATAGAAAAAAGAGACTGCTTCAGTAAAAAAGCAGCAGGACTCTGGGAAGGGGCCAGGGGCTTGGAGAAAAGTCAGAGGGACAGATTTCTTTTTCTACACTTCATCCATTTCTTCCAAATAGGCAGATTGTCGCAGCTCCGCTCTTGCAATGTCCCTTCCCTCTCCCTTTCCTCTGCTAAACCATTCTGTCCTCCTTGTTTTAACGTGCCATGAAGAGCAGGCTGCAAGTTGGGTTTTCTCTCTCCTGCAACCATGTCCCTCCCAGTACACATCAGGTGTCCTCACTCCCTCTAACTGCCAGGGAGAACTAAAGCAGATTCAGCATAAATCACACACATGTGGGGCTCCAGAAGGCTCATACAAGCCTTCACCAAGCTCCTTGCTGTCCCCGTGTGAGTTGCAGGAGATAAAAACCTGAAATGAAAGGGGTATCCTATCTTTCAGCTGTCTATTCGAGCAGAACCAGCGGTCATGTGGGAGTATTATTCTCCTAGTAATTAACACAGGTCAGGGCCCTTCTCTGACCTGAAAGCAAGTGGCATGACAGCCTCTAGCCATGCCTCCAGACTCTCTGGGACCAGCCCTTAACCCATCCTAGCCCATGCACACTGCAAGGCATTGTTTCAAGGGTGATAGGTTAAAGGCATGCCAGTGAAACCATGCAGATGAGCATAGCACAGTGTCCAAGCCTCCACCTTTCATTGCTCAAGTTGCTAGATGTAGCTAAGGCACCTACAAAGAGTCCCTTGGTCTCCATGATCATCAGCCTATTAACCGTATCACACAGTCATGACACATGGGGCTTGGGTCTCAGTAATAACTCCCAGCCACAAGTTTATGCACAAGACTGCTCCATCCTGTTTGAACACTACACCCTAGGACTGCAGCTTTTGGATCACTGACTACACCTATTTCAGTAACTTACATGAAAGATGGTCTGCTTGTTAAGACCTTAGTGCTTTTTGGCATGCTCAGACTCACATTCACCTTGTGTGCCGTTATGTATACCTTTACAAGAGGGAACATCAATATTGACTGGAAAGAGCTTCTGCTCCCTCTATAGCTCTCAAGATGTATGTAGTCAAAGCTCGTCCTTGGCTCATTGACACCAGCTTCAGATCCATGAAACTGGATACCTTGGAAAGAGGTAATAATCTACCATCACTGTTGCTATAGTTTCCTCTGTTGCCAGAGCCTCATTGCGGAGGCTTATGCCCTGACTTGATAAGTCCCTCAATGGTAAGAAGTTATCTTGTGGGAGATAAGCCCGCTAACCAGACACCTACTGCAGCACTTATGAATGTCACGTGGGAAGGATTCAGCTGGGACATAAGACTCCAGACATGTAATGAATGAATATGGATCCTGGCTACAGATAGCGTACTCACATACGCCTCATTCCATGTAGGCTGGGATTTGTGTCCCAAGGGGTGTTGATCCTTCTTCATTGATGGATGATCTGGCCAGTACACTAGTCAGGAATACCGTCTGAGTTCCATGTGAGTCCGTAATGAATGTGATGAGGCAACACATACACAACTAGAGAGCTCAAGGGTTATGGTTTTCTGCACAGTGCAATCTGTTAATTGGGGGAAGGCTGAAAGGGTGGGTTTTGAATGTACGTAAGGATAAAAACTTGAAAAAAGATTGCTTGCCTGTAACTTTTCTTCAAGATAAGCTGCCTATAGGGACAGTTTCAACCTTTTGCTCAACCCCTGTCTCCCAAGTCCCTCCCTGT